TTTAGTTCCTAAAACCTCAGTTCTCTGATCCATCTGCTTGATCACTCCCACCGGGCAGCCCACTAGGTTGCAAGCAGACTCAGCACCCTGGGCCCAGTCCAGCCCCACCTCGTGCTTGCTGCCCCAGGTTTCACCGGCTCTCAGTCGGCCAGTCTCCTGATCCTCGCCCTTCTGCCCCAGCAGCCCATCAATCCCACGCCCTCACCCCCCTCTCATCACCACACGTCACTTTGCCACCCTTCCTTTCCAACCCCCCCTGGAGAACTGCGCTCTGCATGCCTGTCATTCACTGTAGCTCCCAGCCTGCCTCCCCACCTGCAGCCCTCCTTCCACTAGCCCCCCACCCCTACACGGCCCATCATGAGAATCTCCTAAAAAACTCACTTTCATCCCACCCCTCCCCAGCTCAAAAATCTATCAATGGCCGCCTGCTGCCAGCAGGATCAAACCCAACCTCCTCAGTGCACCCTCCAAGGCCCACCCCATCTGGACCTCACTGCACCTTCTAACTCTCCCACACCTTACCATATCCTAACCCTCTGTTCTGGCCACTGGCCTCCTCTGTCCTTCAGATCTGTTTTGGTCGCGATCAACCCACTGCCTTTTCTCCTGTTCTTCCTGCTTCAAGTCCTTTTCCTTACCCACATCTGCCCTTGTCAAGCCACACCCCTGCCTCAAGGTCAGTGACCACCTTGTGAGGGCTGAGCGCCTTCAGCTTGTGAGCCCTGTCTACCCAAGGAGATCAACTCCTTTTTTTCCAAATTCTAGTCCATTAACATATAGTGTAATATTGGTTTAAGGAGTAGAATTTAGTGATTCATCACTGACATACAACACCCAGTGCTCATCCCAACAAGTGCCCTCCTTAATACCCATCATCTATCTAGCCCATCCCCCACCCACCTCCCTCCATCAACCCTCAGTTTGTTCCCTGTCATTAAGAGTCTCTTAGGCCTTGTTTCCTTCTCTGTCTCTTTTTCCCCCTTCCCATATGTTCATCTGTTTTAACAAGATCAACTCCTTAAAGGCTCTGTGTCACATACCTCTGAATACTTAGCACAAAGCCTAGCCATAGTAGGTATTCAATCAACATCTACTCATTTAGTGATGAATTACAGATACTTTTCCTTTTCTCTGACAGCTAAGGAAGTTAGACATGTCATTCCATTCAAGGGACTTTTTTTGAAGGTCTACTATATTCTGAGCCCTTTGCAGGTTGTTAGGGTGAGGAGGGGACCAAAAGATGAATGACACAGGCCTTGTGCAGAAGGACCTGAAATCACAAAAGAGTTCTTATTCCAGGCTTTATGAGTGCCAGAGCCCCCTGAAATTGTATGCAAAATTTCCCAGATGTGTGCATGTATGCACCATTCTGGAGAGAAGGCTCTCTGCTTTCATTAGCTGCTCAAATGGGTTTTGATCACCCTAGAGCGCAAGGGTCGCTGCTTTAAGGAAAGAGTAACATAACCAATATTCATACCAGTGCATGAGTAAGTGCTCAATGGAGGGAAAGCTCTGAGGTGAGTTTTGCTGTCAAGGGGCTGGAAGAGAAAGCCTTCACGGAAGAGAAGGGAGCTAGGCTGGGCTTCACTCAACAGGAGGAATTCCAGGAGGAAGAGAAGGGGAGAAGGGCACTGGAGGCAGAGGGTATGGCCTGAGCCAAGGCCTGGAGGCATCGGAGTGTGTGGTGTCTTTGGGGAGAGGGTCTGTGGTCTGGTGTGGCTGGGGCACGGGACGTGGAAACCCCAGACTGATGTAAGGGGATCCCTGTTGCTTGCCTCATGTAGCGGCTTCTTCAGCCTTGGGCTCATGCCCAGAGAGGCTGAAGGGGAAACCAGTCACTCTTCCTTCCACTGGGGGGCCAGGATGGGTGATGAGCCAGCTACCAAGAGAAGTCAGGGACCCCTGTTCTAATGAGGTACAGCAAGGAAGCCTCTAGATGCTTCTTTGTAAGGAGATTGCAAAGCTGGCTGGCCCAAGCAGACTCTGGATGTGGGGTTGTCTTCCTCTAGATATTTCATGATGGGTTGGGGGAGGAGGGCAGAGGTGGAGAAGCCAAGAGAGTAAAGGAGGTCTTTCAAGGCCAAAACACAAATCTGGATATGCTCTGCATGGGGCAGTTTTTACAACATCTAAACAGCAGATCCTCCAGGTGGGCCCCCCCTGGACTCCTGAGAGAGGAAAGAGAAAGAGATTGGAGACCCAGCCCTGGGGTCAGGGCATCTGGGCACCATCTGGCTGGCTGTCATTAGACCTGACTGGAAGGCATCCAGTACCCCAGGGCCCCACCCCTCTCCCAGGGTGTGGTTCAGGCTTTCTCTCTTCTAACATGCCAGCCTCACTCCTCTCTCAGGCCCTTGGTGCTTATTTGGAAACTTTGTCGACCATCTGCTCCCATGGCTGGCTCCTTCTCATAGTCAAGTTTCATCACAAATGTCCCTTCCAGGTCCAGGGGAAGCTTTCAGTCTGAAGTAGTTGCCTCTATACCCCACCCAGATTAATATAGGGGTCCCTACACTCAGCTTCCAGACTGCAAATCCATGCCAGTGCGCTTCCAGAAAATACTTTCCCCAGCTGTCTGGCTCACTTTGGCCTGAGTCTTGGGTCAATGTTTCTGCTCCTCACAGGTGACATAAAAGAGGGAGGAGGTGCCCAAGGGCCTGGAGGCCTTTGTCAGCCAGGAGGATTGTGCCTGAGGAGCCTGTGCTGCCCCGGGATGGGTCAGACACCTGCCATGGTGCCACCCACTGTAACAGGACTGGGCTCCAACACTACCATGTCCAGTGGACTCTCCCGGGCATCTCCACTCTGTTCCTGGTCTCCCTCTGTATTGGTACCCTCCCTGGCCTCCTACTTGATGACTGTCTTGAGGGGGGAAACCTCATAGAAGAGAAACAGCCACAGAGGCCCCAGGGGCCCCCAGCACAGTCCTTGATATATCATATTCCTTGCCATTCCCAAGCAATCACCTCTCTGTTCAGGATAATCAAATGTGTATGGGGGGGGCGGGGGTAGAAATCCCACAGGAAGCAGCAGTGCTTTCAGAACTGAAGGAGAAAGCATTCCAAAGTCATAATGACTTTTCTGGGTTTTAATCAGGGCAGGAAGTTTTCAGGAAGGAAATGGTTGGGAGACAGGCATGGCAGTGAACACATATACGCCTGGCAGATCTCATAGGCCATGTATCTATGTATGTGTGTGTAAGTGTGGAGGGTACGTGCTGTGGACACATATGCCTTGTGTACGGTAGTTGTCATTTGGGGAACCGAGATCCAGGCACTTTGCTCTCTCTCTGGCCAAGAGGCCCATGGTCTGTCCTTGTCTAAAGACAGCCCCAGGCCCATTTCCTGCTCTGGGCTTTCATGCCCGAGGGTTAATTAAAATGACTTAACATACGTAAAATGCTTAGCACAGTGCCTGGCAGTGAGGAGGTGCTCAGTAAATGACAGCCCTCCCTATTACCAGAATTATTATTATTAAAATGAATGGAGCCCTGTAACCACCTTGGCTGATTCTGATGATGTAAGTAGGTATGTGCTGAATGCCTGGTTTCTCGGGGTGCCACCCCCGCTGCATTCATTCCTGGATCCCCAACAGCCAGCACAATGCCTGGCCCGCTGGAAGCCATCAGTTTCTACTTAATGGAAATAAGACAAGCACTTGCAGTACCCCTCTTTCCATGGGCCCTGGCTCTGTGACCGAAACCAAAGCCTGTCCCCCGGGTGGGAAGAGCTTCCTCTGCAGAACCAGCTGCTGGACTTGGCCTCCCAGAGGAGCAGTGGATGATGGGGCCCTGGCTTCCCTGGCCCAGGCTGGCCTCGGACACACCCTCCGTCAACAAATCCCTCAGGGGAGAAGCAGCCCATGCCAGAGCTGGGATGACTCTGCCCCATAGCATTAGAATGTTGGGTATAAAATATTGAATTTTACATTTAAAGCTATCGGTCACAGGTTCCTCATCAGACCCAGAGGGAAGGATAGTTTTTCTCTGTGAGGGAGATGATTTTTTTTAGCAAAGACAGGCTATGTATACAACGCAGAACTGAATCACACAGTAATCAGAGATGAATTCTCTCTATCCAAAGGCTCCAATGAGGGGGCCCAGGAGCTCAAAGACCTCCCCGTCTGCTCCCCTTTTTTGCCGTCCAGGACAGAGGGAAAGGGTTGCTGGGATTCACAGTCCCTCCAGGGGACAAAGAGCCACTTCTGGATAGAATTCTCTAAGTTTGTTTTTCCTTCTTTCCCTCTCTCTTTTATTTAGCTTTGCCAAGCGTAGCTGTATATGCTTCCGTCTTACAGTTAATGCAAATGTTTGCAAATAAGAGGCTTTTATACACTTACTCCATTCACCATTTATCAGACACCTGGGATCCCAACTGAAAAACAGTCCCTCATATGTAAGTGTTGAATCACTAAATTGTACACCTGAAACGAATATTAATGGTGTATGTTAACTCACTGGAATTTAAAGAAAAACTTTAAAAAAAAAAGTAAAACAGTCTCTGTTCTAGGAGATCAACTTCCTGCAGGAAGGAGAGCCCCTTAGGTCCTCAGACCCACCTGGGAGAGGCAGACAACACATTCCTTGGTGTAAAGGAGGAAAGAGTCACAATCAAACGGCTACACCCCGCTCCCAAGAAGGCAAGGAACCCTCTCCTAAGGAGGGGAGATGGTGCTCAGGTAGTGCTCGTTTGGTTTGAGAAATACTTCTGTTCAAGTTAATTGCCCAAAGGCAAGTCCTTGTACAATGCCGTGGGAGTCCCAATTTAGGATATCACCAACCCTTTGTCATACACAAAATAAACCCTGACATTTGGTGGCTGTTGTCTTTGTTGGCAACTTTGCTTTGGAGGTGTGCCCATGACCTACGCCCGTTTGACTGAATCTGCCAGGCTGACTGGTGCCCTGGCTCAGGTTGGTGACTAGCCTTCCGTAAGGCAGCCGACATTTTAAAGAGGACAGGCCCTCTCCTTATGGTACCCATGGGCTCAGCAGCCTACCTTTCTCTCCTTGTCACCGTATTCGATGCCCAAAGTGTCCATGGCCCGGACGATAGCTGCCAGGGACTGGATGGTGTTGCTGTAGACAACAGGCTTGTACTGTTTCACGTCTTCTCCAGAGAAGCCATCTTCGTGGATGATCCTAGAGAAAAAGCACACACACCACATCTGATGAGTGCACTGTCCTCAAGTGGCACCAAGAGCACCAGGCCTGTGAAGGCTCCGGGGCCGACCTCCTGGCTTAGCTAGCTGAGGGCTGGGTCCGACCTGGATGCTGAATTCCTGAGCTGAAGGAAGAGTCTACCAAATTACTGAAAATTTAGCAGAAAAACAGAATAGTAGCAAAAAGGAACATAGTCTTTTTACATTCCTTATATATAGTGAGAGAAATATCAGCCGGCAAGGTGATTATACTTTAAAGTGCTTCGAACAGGAGGGGCACACAGTAAGCACTCAATAAATGTTAGCTGTTAGTATTTTTAAGCAAAGCTCAGGGTCTTAACCTAAATTTCCACTTAGAGTTATATGGATGAAGACGCCTGCGGGGTGCCTGGGTAGCTCAGTCAGTGAAGCATTTGCCTTTGGCTCAGGTCATGACCTGGGGTCGGCGGGGAGCCTGTTTCTCCCTCTTCTCTTTCTCTTGCTCTATCTCTCAAACAAATAAATAAGATCTTAAAAAAAAAAGACCCCCACAAGAAGGCTGCAAATGAATAATAATTTTTCTTTCGCAAAAAACTCACATTGCTTGAAGGTAAGAGGCCTCATTTAAAATGAACCGTAGACTCCACAGAAGGAGTGTGCCCACTCTTGCATCCTCGGCTGGGATTTGACTACCCTGTCACCCTTATTCTGGTGGTTCTGAACAGTGACACAGAGGACATAAAGGTGACATCACAGTTCCCAGAGGCCATGTGACACTCTCTGCTCTCCTGTTCTCAGGTTCCTCTGAGGTCAGGGGTAAGGCTCCATGTGCCCTAAAGTCCCTTCTCCCTGCAGACAGTCGTCACTCAATACATGCTCACTGCTGACCAGGTTCCAGAGAGGAGAGAAGGCTGGGAATAGGTGATAAAATGAAAACTTGGCAAGAATTCTCTTCCGGTTGAAGTAATTAAGGAGCGAATGGGTCTGAAGACTAACGTCCAACGAGAGCCACCGCCTCCCCCAAGAAAACCGTGCACACTCCTCACGGGTCACATTTTTTCAGTTCAGGATTGAATACTACTTACAGTATATACATACATCCATCTAAGAGCTGAGGCTTCTCTTCCACCCCACCACAGCACCTTTCCATCCCTTCATTACCTTCAGCACAGAAGGAAATGGCTCACAATTCTTTTTTTAAAACAGTTTACTGAGATATAATTCACATACCATACAATCCACCCACTTAACGTGTGCAAGTCAATGTTTTTCAGTCCATTCACGAGCTTGGGCAGTGATCACCACAGTCTAATTTTAGAACATTTTGTCCTCCCTTAAGAGAAACCCTCTACCTATTAGTAGTCACTCCCCACCCCACCCCCACACTCAGTAAGCAACCACTAATCTGTGTTCTATTTCTATAGATTTACCTATTCTGGACATATCATATAAATGGAATCATACAATATGTGGTCTTTCATAACTAGCTTCTTTCACTTAGCATCATGTTTTCAAGAGTCATTGTGTTACAGCATTTTTCAGTACTCCATTTCTTTTTATTGCCCAATTATATTCCATTGTATGGATATACCACATTTTATTTATCCAACCCCTAGTTGATGGACACTAACAATCCTTGTTTTAAAATTTGACTTGATACTGGGTGGTGAGTCTTTATCCTGGGTTTCTCTAAGAAGCAGATCAGAATGACCCTTCTGACTTTTCGTGGACTTCTTTAACCCTAAATCCATTTCTGCACAAGTTTCTGGAGGGAGGATACACTCAGTCTGGATCACTGGTGCACTACCCCAGAGGGATCTTAAAGGAAATTGCTACCTTCCACTAGAAAATTAGAGAAAATGTATGAAACAAGCAGTTTCAGACACAGTACAAGACTGTGATCCCAGAGACAAGGGAAACAAATATGGTGAGTCCTGTGATTGGCACGGCTTTCCACCTGGAGGCATTTACCAGCCCTCAATGCAGGGAGGGAGAGCCCAAGTGGAGCACAGCAGTCTTACTGAGTTGATGAGGTAAAGATCGAAGTTCAGTAAGGCTGAGGTAGCTGGGATTCCAGAGGCAAAGCACCAGAGAGAGAAAACTAGAGAGAGAGACAGGAAGCTCCCCATGCATGAACAGGCATCTCCCTGAGTCTTGGGCTGAATAGGGTGGGACTGCCTGAGCTCAGCAAGGAGCAAGCATCATGGAGCTTATAAGCTGAACACTTCCATCTCGCCCAAGGCTGGGAGATGTGCAAGTTTGACCAGGCAGAGTGAAGAGCCCTTGTGGAGCACCGAGGACACTCAGCAGAGGCTCTAGAAGGCTCATGCCATAGTAGTAGGGCTAAACTGGCCCTAGAGTAAAAGCTACTTTAGACCTGCCCCGACAAAGCTTAAAAATTAGACTCAAAAACATCAAGCTGACCCACAAGTAACTTAATTGCCTGATAGAATAAAGTCCAACACTCTTTAAATGAGGACAACAAAATGAGATACTTAACAATATAGTATTTTTAATACATAGCATCCAATACAAAATTCCTAGCTATGCAAAGGAGCAAAGTGTGACCCACAACTAGGAGAAAAATCAGTCAATAGAAGCAGACTCAGAAGTGACAGAGATGATGGAATTAACATTAAGGCTTTAAAAACACCTATTTAAAATATTTTCAAGGAATTAAAGAAAAACATGGACATAATGAGTAGAGAAATGGAAGACATAAAAAAGAACAGAATGGAACAGCTAGAGAATGAAAATACAATATCAGAGATAAAAATTCCACCGTATGGGATTACCTCATAGAAGATTAGTGACCTTGAACAATAAGCAATGGAAACTATCCAAACTGAAGCAATGAGAGGAAAAAAGGCTAAACAAAAGGTATTGTGATATTTATAACATATATAAAACTAAAACTTATGCAACAATAGCACAAAGGATGGGAGGGATAAAATGGAAATATACTGTTGAAAAATTCATATACATGAAGCACGTAATGGTAAAGCATGGTAAGTTAAGACATATACTGTAAATTTTAGACAACTTCTATATAAAAAACCCCGCTATTCTGTTGTAATTGCTGGTCAAGCAAGTAACTACAGACATCTCCAGATTTCCTCTGCATGGATGATGACTGGAGTAGGGGCTGCTGCGCATCCTCCATCCCATAACCACCAAGGGCATCTGTGCCTCTACTACAAAAGGGACAGCCACAGGAGTTCTTCCCCAATTTTAACATAATCACCTACAAATACTGTATAAAAGATAGGTACATCTACCAAAGAGCAGAGCTCTGGGGTCTGCAGACACACTCCGACAATCTGCTTACGCACCTCTCTATGGGAAAGGACTAAGGATAAAGTGGCCAGCAATCAAATTGTGTCAGGGCATTCTAAGCCATCTGACACTACAGCTCAAAAAGAAATGCTCCAAATTAAAGCATCCAGAGCCTTTTGTGAATGAACAACTCAGAGAAAAGCTCTAACACCTTCCCCCTAGTGAAAGATGCAGGCAGGGCCATGGATATGGTCAAAGGTTTCTTCTTACATTGCAAACTGAGAAATGCCATGAGAAATCCAGGGAGGAAAAGGGGGAAATATCAAACCAAGACTTCTGCAATTTTTTTTCTGAATAGATTTATGATCACAATCTACACCTCCTGAATGGTTTTATAGTGTTGATAAAATAGTTATTTTCTTAATGCCTTCCAAATTTTTCTCTTAGCAAGCAGCGGTGTCTTCTAGATTTAAGATGAATAAAGACATTTTGAGAATTATTTAAAAAAAAAAAAAAGCCCGCTGTTACCCAGGCTCCATGACCAGACTCCCCTCCGAGGGTGGGACCCGCTGGGTGACCTGAGGGGGGCAGCTGGGATCTGCGAGTCCCCATGATACACTCTCCCAAGAAGCCAGTGCAGTGTTTCTCATTCTTCATTCTGGACCAGCAGGCCTTACCACTCTTCTCTAGACCTTGGCTGCCTTCAGGATTTGCCCCCACTAGGGACGGAACTATAATTTTTCATACCCATTAGTATCAGTCATTACAGCACCTAATAAGGCAGGGAGGGTAGGTTTTTATTATACTTATTTGACAGAAGAGGAAGTGAGCCCAGTAGAGATTAAGTAATTGGCCTAATGTCTTCTCAGCCCAGGAGTAGAGCATGGGTCCCCCAGCACACTTCACTCTTCTTCCCCACCTCAGTCCTCAGGCTGGACTGGGTAGAAAACCGCTTGGAAGGTCTCATCCTGGCTTTAGGGGAGGTTTGCAGAAATGATGCAATATGGGGAAAACTTGCTCCAGTCATGATTATTAGTTCCACTACTTGTTCAGATGGGCTTATAGTAGCTTAAAATTGGGCTTCCTGTTTCAGGGTAGAATTTTACACTGGCCTCTACCAAGTAGTAAGTATATTGGCCTTACTACCAAGTAAGAAAAGTTGGACCATATAAAGCAACAGCGAAAACAAAACAAAACAAAACAAAATATACTCTTAGTAATCTCACGGCTCAGGAAAAAAACACTGACATTTTTAGTGTCAGTCCTTCTAGTATTGCTTTCATGCCTCCTTCCTCATCTTCTCCGCTTGCCCCCCACTCCCCTGGCAGTGATTTGAGTCATATATCCTTTAAAGTATCACTTAAGGCCCCTTTATTTTCTATTTCCCCATGTCATCCGGAGAGACAGAGTAGAGCAGTGGGAGGCTGACTCCTTGGGCTCAGGAGTCAGACAGATGTGGACAACCCCAGCTCTATCACTGATGAGCTGGGTGTCACTGGTAAAGGATTTAAGCCCTCAGGTCTTGGGTTTCTCCTCTGCGAGGAGCTGTTGTGAGTAATACATGCAAAGTGTCCATCCTATTGTAAGTACATAATAAATGGTAGCTATGAGTAGTAATATCCACATTCTAAAGCCAAAACCCCCCAGACAGAATTTCCTTCTTTGGTATCAAGGAACAAAATAAATAACAGCAGTGGATGTTGGAGGGTTTACTCTGCCTTCAGT